AAATAAATAAATAAATAAACAAATAAATAAATAAATAAATAAATAAATAAATAAATAAATAAATAAATAAATAAATAAATAGTGGTCTGAGAGGAATTTTAAATGGATTGTTGTGCTCTTTTAATAAATTTGTTGTAATACTGATTTTATTTACCATTTTAATGTAACACATTTAATACTTTTTAAGTATTTGTATACTTACTGTTTTTAGCTTTTAAATACTGTTGTTGTTTTAAACGATGTAAGCCCCCTTTGGTCCTTTTACAAAGATAGGATAAAAATATTTGAAATAAATAAATAAATAATATATAAAACCACACTCAGTGCAACGTCCTTGAATTTTGAACCATTATACTAGCTGATTGGCCAGGCTTTACCTGGATTTTAGACATGCCACCTGGTGCCCATTGGAGTATTAATCAGTAGGTGAAGTTTGACAGGATTTCATAGGGTTTGCAGAAAGGAAAGTCTCTGTGTAAATGTTGCAACTGGAGAGATCAGTGATTCACTGCTTTGGCAACAGCTACAAGCTGTCTGCAGAGCTGTTTCTGAGCCGTTTATGTGTTATTTATTTACTTGAAGTATGTCCATGTTGCCTTTCTCCTAAACGAAGCAATGAAGCCACAGAGAGTGATCCTGGTTGGGAAATTATGGAAACTTCAGTTCAAAAAAAATAAAATAAAAAGGTAGCCAGATCAAGGTTGATTTAGCCCTCCAAGGTTGGTAAATTGGGTCCCCAGCTCACGGGGGGAGGGGGGGCATGTGTAACCTGCATAATTAAATTATAAAACTAGCCTGAGAGTGCTTGAAACGCTATGGTATATATGCAGCACACTTTGCTTTATAGAGCAGGGCTGCTTTACATGGTTCTCCTTGCCCCATTTTATACCAAAAGCAACTCGCTTTGCTTTATGGAGCAGGGCTGCTTTACATGGTTCCCCTTGCCCCATTTTATACCAAAAGCAACTCCGCAAAGTAGACGTGATGAACTGGTATGGATTGGACCATGGATAGCCAACAAGTAAGCTTTGTGATTCAGCAGGAGCTTTGACTGGGGTCTCCCTGTCCAAAGTCCCACACTCTATCCATTGCACTACACTCTTTTGCTCTCTTAGGTCTATGGTTCCTACATGAATGGTGCCAAGGCTGAAACATAATGGTAGGAAAAAAACAACAACAAGACAACTGTTAATGTGCTTAACTTGCAAAGAGGCAAAAGAAAAAAGGAGAAAAATTAATTTTGCATAAGCTTGTTGTCTACCTTACAGGCATTCTGTCAAGTCTTCCTCCAAGATTACGTCTGTTTCTTTTTACTTGGTCGCCACCTAAGTGATTTTGGGCACATCTACAGTACTTCTATTTGGTCTCCGTACTGGTTATATAGAGATCTAAGATTCACATCTGCCTAGTTTAAATCCACTTTTCTTCTCAATCTAGATGTAATGCAGCAAAATAGCTCAAAAATAATCGTTCATCTCACCTTTTTGGTAAAAAGAGTGTTAATTACAAAGCACTACTATTTGGCTATTACAGTACCCTTTATGCTCTCTCTATTATATATTTTCCATTTGAAATTTGTGATAATCTCATCTCTTTGAACCCTCCAGCAAATGCCGTACAAATGAACCTGCACACGAACATCTAATTTATACTGAAATAAAAGTAATGACCACTAGCTGAAAAGTGTATCTTTGTTATTAAGGAAGCAAATTGCAATTATGAGAAAACAATACTGTTATTAGTTTGCAAAAGTTATTTGCGTTGATTAAAAGCTCCAATAAGTATGCCTTGCTTACCAGAACCGCTCCATTTAGCACTTGACAAATAATCGGGTTTTCCCATCACAGTGTAATATCTCCTTTGAAATATAATTATTTTGTAGATTGCTCAACTGAATGCCCTTATAAACATGCTGTTAGGGGAACTCACCCCTGGAGATCGTCAGAAGATCATGACAATCTGCACAATTGATGTGCACGCCAGAGATGTTGTAGCCAAGCTTATAGCACAGAAGGTAATTTGTTGCAGAGCAATTACCCTAATGCATTTTTAAAAGCATAAAATAAAGAATAATTTCATTTGTTGAAAAGATATTGGGATTGCTTATCTATAATGATGACAGAACATTTTGATTCAGTCAATTTCTGTCTTTTTTTCCTTTTGGTTTCAAACCGCAGATAATTACATTTACCAGTTGGGGGAAAAGTGCTATTTATACATATAGATGGATATATCTATGTGTGTGTTTTTCCAAATGTTTAAAGTGTCCATTAAAACTGTATGCTATAAAATGACAGCAGGTTCTCAATGATCTGTCCCAGACCTGCTCAATGCTACCATGAAAATGTGCATTTATTACAACTGGTTTTGCAATTTATATTGTACAAAGTACTATAATTGTATAGCAATTTAAGAGTGCCCCTTCCATGTTTTCTGAGCATATTAACGGTTTCTAATTTTCTCTGGGGAAGGAAGTAATGAGATCTTGGTCGTTTCAAGTTCTCACCTTAAATGTGTTGTCCCTCCTTAGAACTCAGAGAGTGACAGCAAAAGGCATTTAAAAAAATCAGCCAGAATGAAATGCGTGAAATGAGCTTGCTTCTACTACCTCCGCCCCTGTTAGCACTTGGTGGCTTTCTCTCTTTGAGCCCAATCCACACACGCAAAAGGAGGAAGCGAATCAAGTAGACTAGGCTCCACCTCTTTCTTGCAGTTATCATGGCTTACCTGTTTAGAGAGGGTAAAACAGCAGGGCTGAACCAAGACATTTTGCTGTCTGTGGTAGAGTAAAATGACATAGGCATCTTTCAGTCTCGAGAGACTATGGTAACGTGTTCTGTATGGAGGACTTCGATGCTGTATGTGAAGCTGCAGTGTCCTCTCCAGAGCACCCCCAGAGCATGTTACTTCCTATTCTGGCCATCCATGTCTAAGCACGCAGTCTCTAAGCCAGTTATGCTATTTTGGCAGGCGAGGCAGAAAATCTTACAAGCATCTCTTCCTGTCTGGGTATGTGTGTGTAAAAAAAATTACCAAATACTAAATCATTATGCAAAACAGTAATTATTTGCCGCCCTTTGACAGCACTTGCAATGTTCTGCCTGTGTCAGTCTGCCTAATCGTAGGGCCAATCCTAGTGAAGATGCAGCCGCAGTAAGGAGGAGAAGAAATGTTCTCACAGAGAGTACCAGTCAATCTGCTCTGGTGTGGGTATTAACAGATACCCAATCATTTCAATGCCCCGTACCAAACCTAACAGAAAGGAACTCCCCTGTTCAGTCCCAGGCATCTCCAGTTCCAATGTGTCTTATTGGAAGACTGAGTTGCAAGTTGAGTTTGGGTCATTGGGGGGGAAAAACCCAAGTTGATTTGCTGGTATGACATAAATCTGACTTGACAGCAAGTCCCATGACTCGAGATCTCATCTTTGATTTTTATTCTGCCTTTTTTTCCTGCTGGACTTCCTTGAAAATTCCAGATTTACTCCAATTTGTAAATGAATCCTGTGGTTACCTCTTGGTGACCAAACCCCAAGACAAGACATGCTAATCTGCAATATCTAGAGGCAGAAAAAGTGGATGCTATAAGAAACAAATGCTACTTATTTTTTAAGGGGAACTCTGCTTCTAAAGGCGTGCTAACCATATTACTTGCTTTTACTCTTTGCGGGTCTGTGCAGATCTATGCATTTTTGTGTGATACATAATAGCAGATCTTTGACAGATCTATGCAGTCCTAACTGGTAGGTGAGACGAGGCAATTAGCTCAGGGAGAAGGTGTTGAGGGGTATAAAATTGATAGCGCTGTATATGTCCCATGAGCTGTTTTAGGGACTCTGTAATAGTCAACAGTCTTCAAAGGCCAAAGAGGGCACCACCCCATTGCTAGCTGCAAGTAGGATTCGGGTACCAATCTGGTCATTTTTTTCCACATGGGAGTCTGATGGGGAGAGGTGCCATCATGTGTTTGGCCTCAGACAGGAAAATGTTTTGGGTCAGCACTGGTCTTTCCATGCTTTTCTGCTTTTATACATGCCCTCATAGAGTACTTGATCACTGCTTTGGAAATTTAGGAGGGTGTTCATGAAAAACAGATCATGCCCAGAAATTGCAAAAGGGGGGGGGGAATCAAAGGATTAGACTGCAGTTTCACTCTTTGGATTTCCTGGAATATCTATCAACCTGCAGCTTTTCATATTTAACTTTCTTCTGTTTTGTTACACTTGAGGTCTCGAACGGGCAGGCGTTTACTTGGCTGTCACAGTTGCGTCATAGATGGGACGAGGAGCAAAGTGAGTGCTTTGTCAACATTTGCGACGCACAGTTTCAGTACGCTTACGAATATCTTGGGAACAGCCCTAGGCTTGTGATCACACCTCTTACTGACAGGTGAGAACCACGCCAAAAATGGCGTAGAAAATGGAAAATGGTGTGACCGTGCAGTTCAGCAATTCAAAGATTCTTCTGAATTTCTTAATCTGTTGTATACTGTCCATAAAAATGTGTATTTCACATTATGCCTGTTTAAAAATTGGTATTTCAATATGTAACTCAAATAGTAAGTTTTAGGAATCTAATAAACAGCCTGAATATTAAGAAAGCAAAGAAATTACTGCATTTTAAAAAAAGCAAAAGTCAGCCAGCATCCTATTTTAAAAGATAGGGTTTCCTTGGTCTTTTCTAACACTTGGCCTGTAGACTTCTTCTGTTGATAAAGAAGAAGAAAAATCAGTTCCTTAGTAAACAGCCTGCTACAGTTCTACCCAAGAATACATCCCAGTGAACTAAATGGAGCTTTCTCCTGAGCGCCTATGTTTGGGATTATGCTGCTAATAATTTGTGCCTGTAATGAAGGCACTTTTAGCCCTATTAACTGGCATTCTGTAAGGAAAAAAGAAGCAACAGCGCAGAACTCTGAACAGTTGCTGAAGAAGAAGAAGAAAATATCCTTCCACACAACATAATCATTTTGTTGTGGTGCGATACATAATAGCAGTTGGAAGGGGAAATTTGCAGCAATTTTAAATATTCTTTTCGCTGAAATTGTTTATCCACATTGCCAAAGTCTTTAAGGAAGTACCGACGTTTCCCCACATTGTTGGGAGCAGCTGCCTCCATCTCCTGTGGCTGTCTGACTGCTAACTAGGCAGATGGCAGACAGTAGCTGAGGTGTGTCTGCAGCTCTAGGCAGGGCGAGCTTCTCCGGCTTGCAGGAGGCACAGCTGCCGCCCTATTATGATGGTGATGATGATCCTTCTGTATTTGAGACTTGGGAAGCCTTGTGTGGAACGATGTGCTTTGAAGGGGTGACTAGGCTTGTTTTGTGTGTGTGTGTGTGTATGTGTGTGTGTGTTTCGAAACACGCCATGGAAACCCTTAAATAACCACACCACTGTGCTGCATGGAAATATGGAATTCCTGTTAATTTCCCATCTTTTGGGCAAGGGTCTGGCGGGGAAGAAGTTTCTTTTAAAAAGTGTGTTAAGATGCATTTGCCACAGATATCAACACCTTTCATGCCATGAGGAAAGAAGAGCTCAGCAAGGCCGAGAAGCTCTGAAGAGGGTGCCCGGTGACCCACCTATCTAGCAGTCCCTTTTCCTGCATCTTTGCACAGATATTGCAGGGAAGCTGGAAGTAATGAGACCAGAATGCGCCAATTAGCCCTAGGAGAGCTTTTGAACAAGTCCACAGGTCAGGTGGAGGACTGTGAAGAGGATTTTGTGAAAATGCCAGGGAAAATGCAGGGTACTTTCAAATCTGTGATATTTATATGATTTACCAATTAAAGAACAGATTCATGGAGTCTTACTGAGGGTTCACTGAGCTTGAGAAAGAGAAAGCAGACACCTGAATGGCTTTGTTGATTACAAGTATAACACAGCAGTCTGGAAACAGGGAGGGATGGTTTAGAAAGCCACTGATCTTTTTTACCATCAGGCATGTCCAGGGGCTGGTTTGGCTGAATGTGCTGTATTTTGCACCCAAGAAATTCGGCTCATATCTGAGTTCTCATCTGGACTTTGCTATAATGAATCTTCCAAGTGTTTCTCTCAAATCTGCTATCTGATCATCTAGTCAACGCTGCTGTTGCTGACTGTATAATTTCACAGCATTAATCATTGTTATATAGACTGATAACTTGAAAAAGTTACTTTTATGGTCTGTGGCTCCCAAAATACTTTAGTCAGTTGGGGGATTCCAAGGCTTATAGTCTTAGAAAGCCCCATTTCCAAGTTCTGCTTCATACCCACAATACTCCACTAAGGTTTACATTGATTATATAGCATGAATTATATTTCTGTTGGAAAGATGATGCTTCAGGGAAGATGGGGGGTGCCATTTCGTTTGCCAATTCCATCAGTATGAAAAATGTCTTTCCCAACCCATTGTAGGATACCCACCACATGCCTAGAGGAACGTTGCATGAAGCAAGGGTCGGTGGATCTCACTGCCCACCCAGCTAGCTGACAATGGGGGCTTATCACAGGGCTGTATGGATCTCATTGCAGAAGTTGCAGTTTGCAGCATCACATGGGGCTTGAGCTGTAGACGTTTTTGGGTATCTAGGCACGTGTTGTGTGGACGGCAGGACATAGCCCAGTCTGATTTGGTAATATTAGTGCTAGCTATCTTGCTTGCTGTTGATACAATTTCTTCCCAATAGGCTCTCGCTTGCCTTCACAAGAACAGTCAGGACATCTTTCTACAGAATTAGCTAGAGAGACAATCTACAACTGTGAAGGAGAAAGTATGGTGGTCCAGATGTTGTTGAACTGCAACTCCATCATCCCTCGCTATTGGCTGTGCTTGCTAGGGCCAATGAGAGTGGCAGCCCAACAACACCTGGTTAGTTGCATCTTCCTGATCTTTGTATTAGAATTTTCAGACTTGAAAAAAAAATATCTGCAGAGTGCATGCCTCAGACATAGAATGTCATATGGTGTTTCATAGGTTTTCCTGCCTGACATGGAGAATTTCCATGACCATGTTGGCACTCTCTGATAGGAGGAGCCAGGCGCTGTTCCAATGAACAGGCCTGTTTTAGTTTAGGTGTACCTCTTTATATATAATCATTAAATCCCATTAAACATGGCGGTAGCTTTTCTTCCTGCTGCTCATGACAAATGCATGGGGACTATGTGGCACCATGCCAGGGTGTTTGCTCTCAAAATCCTAAACAAGCATACACCACCAGTAAGGAATCATGGAAGTTGTAGTCTGACAAGGTTTCTCAGACAAGTCAGTGAAGTAAATAATTAACTTCGTTTAAAAATGAGTGTTAAGATAACTAAATTTGTGGTAATCAGTAAAAAGCAAATAGTTCAAGAAGTGCAGTAAAAATCCGAGATGACAAGGAAGAATGTGTTGGCAAATGTAAATATCTTGACTTTTGAGTGAAAGAACAGCAAGAACAACATTGCCATGCAATAAAAAATGGACAACAGAGTTGGCCCAAAGTACGGTAGCTTTTCTTAAGGTGAGGGATGTAATAGGTAACCACAGTGGAGAGCTGACTTTAGAAAGCACGTTGTATGGAGCTGTGTGGTCTCGGTTGTACTGTAGAACATGAAGGCATGGATTTTGAAACAGCCTGCTATAAAAAGGGATAGTAATATCTAAAGTGTGTCTTTATTCCAGGATGCGAAGAATTTCATGGATTGAGAGGCTGACCAATGCAAGAGTACTAAGGACCATAAAGACCATGTAACCGATTGACCCATAAAATACAGAAAGCTTTGGTCATGTCACAAGAAACAGAAACTATAGATTTTAGTTGACCATTTGAGGTAAACTAAATGGGAGGAAAAAGTGCAGGAAGGAGAACTAGGTTTGGATATACTAAAACTGGTTTGGATGCAATTAAACAACTGTTGTTTAGAGTTGTGACATCAAACTCAGAATGCTCATGATGGCATCCCATGATTGATATGAGAGGAAGTAGAAGAAGAAGAAACAATAGCAGTAATAATAAATCTGGGGGAAAACATCCTCATTTCTCATCACAGATATTTAACTTAAATAGTGGTAACACCCACTATTTAAAGTTACAGTGGCTTCTGTTTTAGGGACCCCATCTCACAGTAGTCTATGAAAGAAGTTGGTCTAGAAGATATCCCAGTCCAGCCCAAGCTGATATCTTGAATTTAGGTAAAGGTTCCCCTTGACATTTTCAGTCCAGCCGTGTCCAACTCTAGGCCGTGGTGCTCATCCCCGTTTCCAAGACATGGAGCCAGCATTTGTCCGTAGACAGTTTCCGTGGTCACGTGGCCAGCACAACTAAACACAGAACACTGTTACCTTCCCACCGTGGTGGTACCTATTTATCTACTTATATTTGCATGCTTTCGAACTGCTAGGTTGGCAGGAATCCTGAATTTAGAAGAATTTAAAAGGAGAATTTTGTGACAATCCTTATCACTAGTGGATATACAGGGCTGAGCTCCTAAGAAGCTGAAAGCATGTTGTTAGGTATGATACTATTCTGCATATCAAATGCAAAAGTATGCACTGTGATGATTATGGCTTTTATCAAAATTTCAGATGTTAATTTTAAGTGTGGCTCTTTAGGCTGA